CAACACCCATTATTTCAACGTTTAAAAAAAAAAAAAAAAAGTATATTTCATCCGTTTACGATTAATTATGCACACACTCCTTCTATAGTGTTTTAGAAAATTCATTTAAACAACAATTTTTTATTTTTTTTTAGCCTGGCCTTAAAGTTAGGGTTGGAGTGCACCCTCATTAATCAAAACGTTTTACCGGCTAAATATCCACAGCCTAATTGTTAATAAATTTGATTTGAATGCAAACGTTTGTTTTACCGGCTAAATATCCACAGCCTAATTGTTAATAAATTTGATTTGAATGCAAACGTTTGTTTTCAGGCAAATCATGGACCCTCTACCACATCTCACTTTCACAATCACATTTTCAACTGCATCAGTCGGCCAAGGAGAACAGGTTGGGGGTCTACGAACATGATCAACATTGCCCAACTCCATTGAATGGTGTCGGAAAGAAAGGACAATTTATCATTTGCTAAAATGGACAACTTTGGCCAAGCAATAGACACGTGCTATAAATTAATTAATTCATTCAGGAAGGTGTTATAATATAGGCCTAGCCCATCCATGATTTATTGTACATGCAAAGTGACACGCAGAGGTGCTACAAGCAAGTTAATTGCACTGCTTTATGTTGATGTGAAAAAAAAATGTTCTTCGGATTGATTAAGAACATACTAAGAGCTACTTGGATTTTACAATGTTTCTAGTTAGATGTTTAGATATACGATAATACAAATAAAACGTCGAAATAACTTGATTCAATGTCTTAATACGAGGCTCGCCGGTTTGGCATAAGAAATTTGAAACCAATTCCGAAAACTTCATTCCTTCGTCTTGAGAATTAATACTTCGCAAGTGATTCGGGTGGTAATCGAGGCCTACAAATACCAGACTAGGTATCTAGAGGTCGTGGGTTCAATTCGCATGCGAATCCCTGTCTCTTATACACATCTAGATGTGTATAAGAGACAGGGAAAGCACATATCTGAGCATCTAGAAAACAAAAACTTAATAATCTGACCCTTGAACCATGACTGGATTTGGAAAATGAAAATTTAACCTACAAGCTACTAGCATAAATTCTGAAATTTATTCATCTAATCTTCTTAAGGACGTGTACCGGTATCTTTTTTCTTAGTCAATTACATTTTATGGATTATTATCAAATAACATTTACAATTTCTATCTTAACAAATACACAATGAATCTCACAATCACTTATCTCTTGCTTTATACACTATTTTGTCTATTTAATAATTTATATATTTTCTTTCACTTGAATGAATTTGATCATTTTGTAATAAATCTTTTTCGGCCTTGAGTGAGCTACTGAGAATAGGTAGGCCTATATTATGGAATATCAACGAGCAATTGATTGGTTGATTGGTTGAGAGATTGTGAGTTTTCACCAGATGATTAACGCTTAAATTTCATAAATAAGATTACCAGAACGTCAAGCCGGCCGAATCGTTCGACGGTCCCGTGTACAATCCTCTCTAGGTCAGCGTCACTGCTCATCTCACCTGTTTGCAGCAGAATCTGTAAAATACATATCATATATATAATAATGATTATAATGATGATAATAATATTAATAATAATGATGATAATAATAATAATAATAATAATAATAATAATAATAATAATAATGATAATAATAATAATAATAATAATAATAATAATAATAATAATAATAATAATAATATGATTATGATTATTATATTGTTCTTATTATAGTTGTTGTTATTCAAATATTAAATGTAAAACGTGTTGTTGGCTAGAATTTTACCTGATCTGCCTGCAGCCCCCACTGCTGGCAGTCTTTCCCAACGCCATTCAGCCTCTCTTCATTCCTACCAGTTAGCGACACGTAACAGCCTAACGATGCAAAATGTCGGGCTACGGCTGCTCCTATCCCAGAACTTGCCCCTTGTTGATAAATGATAAATCATTCCAGAAATATCACAATTGTCATGTACAGTATTTCAATCGCAATCGTCTATTTAGGACCCAGCTAGCCGATCCAACCGAGTTAGGAATTTTTTCGTAGATTAGAACAGGCCCGATTGGTAATTAGACTTTTGGCTACATAACTTAAGCTACATATATAATTTTCTTCCACTTACTTTCAAATAAAGAATATTGCAACGATTGTAAATAATAATGAATAAATTCTTACCAGTTATTAAAGCAACTTTTTCTTTCAACGATGCCATTTTCCTTGAAATACCTTTGAACCTGAAGGTAAAAATGACACTGTATAGCAGCTTAAGCAACGACTATGCATAATTAAAAATAATAATCCTTCAACCCGCAAATACGTTTATGGAATAATAAACAATCTGTTGTCACCGTACACCCTCTACCAGTATTAACTTTCGCCTACAACAAATTATCACAGTTTTTTTCAGTTGAATCATTAAGGAATACGGTACGTGTGTTGACTTACATTATCTACTACGAAAATAAAAGAAAAATGTATCAACAAAACATTTTCGGATTTGTTTAACAAAATTTCACCGGATTATGATTCTCATATAGCTCATTTACCCCCTTTTCCTACTCAAAACCATTCTCAACAATGAACGCCCCGTGGCGTTGTATGAATATATTACGATATTATTTCTAAAAGAAAGAAGTACTGTATATCTCACATTTGTTTTCTATATTATTTAGAAGAAGCCAATAATTTGTTAGGGAAAGAGGCCAATCGCTTCGACGGTGAACACTACTTTGAAAAACATCTTGACAGTCTGAGAGGGCAATTTTCGAGCATCTACCTTGAACAGTAGATTCTTAAAATTTGCGCCAACCATGGTTGGGCTGAGGTGAGTGTGGAAACCTTGTAAGGAGGATTTTATCTCTGGTTGGGGAACTTGGGTCGCTGTCGGTGACCTTTGACCCCTCGTTAGGGAATCTTTGGTCCCCCCACTAATTGTTTAACCGTCAGCCGGGCGCTTGTATGAAGAAGGGAGGAGCAATAAAGTATAGGCTATTAATTTAATACCTCCTTGGGTGGAGAGTACTTGATTTGTCATTTTAAGACAGTAGATATAAGCCTATGACGTCAATTCGTCAGGTAACCACTTTAAATGCAGCAAGCTAGGCATACCAGTCAAATGGTTAATGTAGATTTTAATTATACATTTACCATAAATGCTCGAATAAGCGCCACGGCGCTTATGACATATCTTGGAGGCTTCAGTGCGGCGCTTATTCGGGAGCGGCGCTTATAAAAAAAAATATATATATATTGGAGTGGCACTTTCAAGCCCGTTTCCATGTTACCTATGCATTCCCGTAGTTCAGTATGCCAATCATGGTCCTACCGGTACGTCATCGTAAATAAACATTTATAAATGAATGCTTGTGTCTTCATTGTTTTATTTATTCATTTTAACACTCTATACATTGTATTAAAATCCTGTTTCTCAAAGTGTTTCATTACACAGAGGGTAAAATATAGGCTACTCTCGATTCCGCGGCTCTTATTCGAGAGCGGCGCCGCACCAAATCTGGTTTGGTGCGGCGCAATTAGTGTAATGATGTTTGCTTATGTTTACTACTTTTATTAATTAAAATAAAGGTATGGTCACACCATTAAGTATAGTTTATTATATAGGTTTTCTTATAATAATTAAAATAACGGCCATAATTTGAAGTATCCGTTTGAAATAATGACTGCATCGTCTATTTACATAATTATATGGTTGTTATACCATGAATGGACTCAGAGAGCCTAATGTTTAAACATTTTTCATCGAAGAGAAGTGGAATTATATCAAAATATTAGATTTTTTATGCGTGCCATCTTAGCTCTTTGAAACTATGTTTTTATGACTTAGGGGGCACAAAAGCATTTGATTAGACCCAAATTCACTAATTTTTATAGAGGAGATGTGGAATTACACTGAACTATTCGATTTTGACATGGCTACCATTTTTAGGTTTTTTAAAAAATGTCATTGAATTTTGTGACCTCCAATAACATATATAGACACCAAATTTGCCCTTTTTCGTTGAATGTAAGTAAAGTAATGAGCCAGTCTGAATTTTGGCGGCCATTTTGAAAATGTGTTCCGCCTTTTTCTTGAGGTTCTTCCCCTCCCCGCTCATTTAAAAAAAAATTTTAGTGATGCTAAATCAACAGATTTTCACTATACAGTACTTACGTGTCTTTAAGTCACTGATGTCTTTTGTTTTCCTAAATCTGCAAGGGTAGCAAGTAAATCTGGGCTCATCCCTTTGCATAATAGTTTATGTGACAGCTTCTGGATATCATTGTAACATCGCATACTTCGGGCAAAGGAGACTATCTTCCTGTCAGCCTAATAAAAGTCCAAATAAATGGCCATGCAGTGCTGCAGGTATATTTTATGTACTGTAATTTAAACAGTACTATTGTGATGAACAGAACACTGTCGATTATCGTATTAATATTTTTAGCGTAATCGTTTCAGTGATATGAGGTGATAATTACAACAACTTAACCTCCAATTAGAACAGCATCATGCAGCATCATCAGGATCATTATCATCATCATCATTATCACCACCACCAGCACCACCACCACCATCACCATCATCATCATCATCATCATCATCATCATCA